GCTCCGTCTGAAGCCGGTAGCTGCAGTCTGCCGGGAGGGCTGTCCTGCTGACACCCTGACCCCGACCCAGCCTCCTAAGCACTGGCTTTGGCCTCTGGCTGGAGAGTAATGCAAAGCCTCACTTCCAAACTCGGATTTGATCTGCTGAGCCATTGCTGGAAGGCGGAACCTCCCACTAGCCCTTCCTGGAATCAAAACAGGCATCCACAGTGCCTAGCCCATCAGGTGCCCCGAGGTGACAGGCCAACAGTAGGGCGCCTGTGAGCAGGTGCGCACCAGGCTGACCTGGCCCCTGGACAGGGCTCACTCAGTGGCTAGCAAGCCTGGGGGAGTTACCCTCTTTGGAGATGATCAAAACAACCCTACCTGGGCTGCTCTCGCATATCCAATTTAACGCTACAGAATAACATTCCAAAAGACACTGGAATCCCGAGGAGAGATGGGCCTCTTTCCAGTTTTAATGCTCAGGGTTCAGAACAACTCACGACCGGAAAGGCAGAGCAGAGCGAGGGCGGTCGGCTGGTCCCCAGGCTAGGAACGATTTTGAGGGAGAGGAAGCCCAGGGCTCCGTCTGAAGCCGGTAGCCACTGGAGTCTGCTCATTCCCCCACAGCCATGGTGGCCACCGTGAGCTCAGAAAACCACAGGCAAAGAAGAGGGGCACCCACCTCCACTCTGGGATGAGAGCTGCTCAGTGCGGATGTTCGAGGTCCCTCCATAGCAGAGAAGTTGCTTCTAGACTATTTTGTCCCAAGAAAATGGAAGCTCATAAAAATTATGACGCTCACAGCAATTTCACACACCCACTCTCACGTCCGCAGTCGAGGAATCAGTACCCCTGGAACGTACACGTTCCAGCCGTGAAATGCCGCTGGGCGGGCGCTCGGGCAGTGGGGGCAGGACAGCCCTAGTGGCCGTGGGCATGACTGGCCTTGGTAAGCAGCACCCACGCTGCACCAGCAGGGGCTCTTCTAAGGCAATTCCAGGGACAATGCAGTCCAAGGAACTTGTTCACTAATGCAGCCAGCAGCCACCGTGGGTCCTCGTCCTGCAGCCCTGACAGGCTCTCTGTATGCTCTACGTCATGGCTGTAGTGACCTGGCAGGACAGCAAAGACTTCCATGGCCAAAGAGCTCCAACTTGATGCCCAGGGCCCAGGACGAGGGTCCCCTGATGTGGACATCTGGGAACCCCTCCCTCTGGGCCCTGCTCTAAAACAGTCTGAGGACATCCTGCTTCAGCCTGAACGTTCCTGGACTCTGCCTGCCTACACTCTCCAAGGCTCTGTGACGACTGGGGGCTGCACTCCCGTGGCTGAGCGGCTGAAGGTTCAGCTGCCCTGCAGAGTCTGTGGGGACAGGAGCAGGACGGGGAGCAGAGGAATGACCTCAGGAAGGACTGGCTCTGAGGGGTGGTTGGCAACTCAAGTTACAGTGGCCAGGAAGGCATGGAGAACTGAGACCTGATCCTGCCACAGTGGCAGGCAAGGAGGCTCCAGGCGGCAGGCGGGGGACTGCTCTGGAGCACGGCTCCTTCACGTGCAGGGGGCTCTGTCCACACCACGACTGGGCCAGGGGGCTGCAGGGGGCTCTGTCCACACCACCACTGAGCCAATAGGGTGCAGGGGCTCTGTCCACCAGTGGCTGGGCCGGAGGGACTCAGGGGGCTCTGACCCTGGAGAGAAGTTCTTGGCAAGAACAAGGGCATGTCTTCCAAGACACGGAGCCAGGTGCCCGGAGCAGGCCAGCACTCAGGGAAGCTGGTGCTGGGAGAGGTAAACACGAAGGATTTGGAGACGCCGGGCTGGCAGGGCGTGGAGGTTCCCGGAGCTCCAGGGTAGGCAGACAGCCTGATGCACCCTGGTTCTCCCGGGTCCGGACCAGGTGGGAACGCAGCACAGAAGCGGGCTGCAAGTCCGCGCGCCGGCCGGCGCGCTGGTCTGGCTGTGCTGGCATTGCCACCGTGGTCTTCCTTTACGTCCACACTCCAGCCACTTCCACAGGTGCTGTACTGGGCAAGGGTCAGTCATGCCAGGATGTCCCTCTGTGGGCCTCCTGCCCACACCGTGGGCCTGGGTCTGTGTAGCCTGAGGAGGGTGTAGGCAGGAAGTCCCGACAGACAGATATCGGCTGCAGCGACGGGAAGAACCTGCCAGGGCTGGGAGGGCTGTGCAGTCCCTGAGGGGAAAGACAGCCCTGCCGGTGCCGGAAGTGACTTTGAGGTGACGACTTTGCCTCCTGTGCAGTCCACCCGATGGTCTCTCTCCACAAAAGTCAAGACCCGCCCTGAGGCTGAGCTCTAGCCCACCATCTCCAAGGCTAGCACCCTGCAGAGCTGGTGCCCTGGGGCACAGGCCTCCCACCGTGTACCTGGGGCGACCCGAGGCCCCACAGCAGCCAAGGTACCTGGCAGCACGCTGATGACACCTTGTTAACAAACAGAGTTTCTTGAGAACACGGTAGAGGGGCTCGATTTTTTAAAAATAGAGGCGTCATATATGTCTTAAAATATTCTTCTGTCAGGAAAACACTTTTTGCACCCACAAATATATTGTACAGAAGAAAACAGTCCGAGTTCCTCGCTGATCCTGAGCCTGCACCATGAGGATGGCGCCGGCTCCCCGAGTTCCTACCCGGGGACGGCAAGGAAAGGGGCAGGGAGGCCTCCCCAGCAGCTGGGCCGCCTACACAGGACTCACAGCTCATTCACCTCCCCGAGTGCCGCTAAGCACAGCTGTTCCCAGTGTAAACTTCCCGCACTGCGAACAGGACCCGGCTTCTCAACAGCCACACTAAAAGCGCCCAGGCCATTTAGGGGTAAGCAACGAACTTTTCCAACGTTAACAACGCTATTGAGCCAAACAGCACGCCGGCTCAGGACGGCAAGACATTTTAGCTAAAAATCTTGAAAAATATATTACCTTATAATTTACAAATACATAAAGAGACTTTGCTTTTAATCATATTGTTTAACTTTCTGTCTGTTCAATTTACTAGTGTGAATCCAAGAAATTCTAGTTCTGCCAATTTCACATTTTTTCCAGGCTTACTTTCAACAGGTGCAATTAGAAACTAAAATGTCATTAAAAGAAGTTCACATGTTTACACATGCTAGCTTAAACTAACACATTTTCTTGGTGTAAAAAAATAAACTATTTCTTTTTTTAACAAAAAAAAAAAAGGTACACTTTAAGGAACGTGCCTAAATCATCTTCAGAAATGACAGTTGGGAATGACATTCATCACTCCTCCCAGGAAGAACAACGGCGAGTTTCCTAAACAAGCGTGCTGGTGGGCTCACGGCGGACGTGCCCGGACGGAAGCCCTCGTCAGAGCACCCCACACGGTCCCTTTTCCCAAACCACCTTCCCTGCAGTCACTTTTCATGCAAAGGATTCAGAAAGGTTTTTTCAAAGTATGCTTTCTACCTTATTTTCTTTCCCAACTATCAAGCCCATTTGAATAATTACCCAACATTATGTAAGAAACAGAACTTCAACACACTGTTTTCACATTACATTTAACTCATAGGATCCACCAGCCTACAGAGACAGTCCAAATCGGAAGGCAACATAATTACGTTTTAACTAGTAATTTAGGCTGAAGTTATATTTCCATATGGAAACCACTTCAAAAATAATGTTCCTTCCAGGGCAACCATAGCTCATTACACAGTAGGCTAACAGGAAATCATGGAACAGAACCTGGGGCCAGCTTCCTGGGAGGGGGTCAGGGACCTCTCCTGGCAGGAGGGGCGGGCACACCGCAGCCCACCCTCACGTTCCCACTCCTGCAAGAGGGTCAGGGCCAGCTGCGGTCCAGGCTGGCTCAGAGGCCGGGCATCATTCTGCCAGCGTGTGCCTGCCCACGTGCATTCCCTGTTCCTTTCTGCATGGAATTCGCAGGCAGGGGCTCTCCAAAGCAAATCCCCTGGCATTGTTTAAACACAGGAAATAGAGAAGAATGGTTCCTGCGCTATAATGAGCCCACGTAATAAAATTATTTGGACTACATAATCATTAAACCCACTTAATTTTTTTTTTCAAAATAGTAACCCGTAATAAAGACCAAAATGGATGGAGGAGGGGCTTAAAGCTGTCTTCTTGGAAGTCAGAGGCCGAGAGAACAGAGGTCCGGGCGAGCGTGCGAAACCTGTCCCTAGCACACGACCGCTCTGATAGCCGCGCCTCCCTCCGGGGGCCCTCCTGTCACATCTGGGCACCGGCCTGGGCGGGGGCGGGGCGGGGCGGGTGGGGACAAGTTGAATAACACTGGAGGACGGAGGAAGGTTTGACCCTTGAAATCTGTCCATATGGGCGCAGTTACGAACCTGCTTCCTCTAGCACGTCCAGCCAGCGTGCAAGGAGTCGCATACGCGGGAGCACGCACAGCAGTGTCACAATTCGACACACGACAGGCGACTCTGCGCTCGCCCCCGCCCCGGCCCGCCGTGTAGAAGCACGCAGGAACTAGCCCTGCTGTAAGGGGCAGTGCGGGGAACCGTTCCACGGAGACCTGGAGCGTAGACGCTGCCCGGCCAGCACGCGCGCGCCCGGCTACGTACCTTCGCGCAGTGTCGCCCTCACCCC